ATTGCTCGCACTTTATTTTCTTTACTTTCTTTATTTTCCTGTCAAATCGGGTTCAAGAAATTTTGGCGATGTGGACCCGCGCCTTTTGTAATAGCTTAGAATCTTTTACTTTCTCGCAATATTTTAACTGTTAATCAAGGCATGAAAGAATGTATGGACAAAAATAAAAACAAACGCTAGATCACCAATGACATGACAAAAGACAAAAATATCTGAAAACGACACACAAATCACACACCACCCCTAGGGTACGCCTCACTGTTGCCTTGCCTTGAAAGGTGGTCGTCGAGTAGAGGATGTCTTAGTAAGTCCTCATGATCCGGGAACCTGGCATGAGGGTAGCTTCTAAGGTGTCTTCCTATTGCTCTGGTGATCACCATGTCCCGAACCTCGAATTGACCCGAACACCTCCAACAATGGTGCTACCTACCTCTCAATGGTGGGATGGCACTACTTTAAAGGATAATTACACAGACAAATTCCTTAGGGTAGGTAGATTCTCATAGATACTTGCTCTTTTCAAAAACAAACAAAATACTTTTCACACCTACACTTTCTAAAAGTTTTCAAACAAATTTTTCATACACTCTTGAGGACAGATACAAGAGTTACTTAGAGATTTTTCAAATGAAACTTTTTTAAAACCCACTCACAGTTGAAAAGCAAACAAACTATTTTGAAAACACAAATGAGCAAGTATCTAAGAGCCCATGGATAACCATGGATAGAAAGGGTGCTAACACCTTCCCTTTCTATAACCTACCTCCCGAACCGAGAAACAATCTCAAAAGGAATTTTTCTGTGCTTTTGTCCTTTCCTTGTTGGAGAAAATAAAAGACGGTGGCGACTCTTGCTTCCGCGACATTTCGCGAATCAGCGTTAAACAGTCAGTTCCAGATCCACCGATCACACCATGCTCCCTAGTCAACCATGCTCTGGGCAATCATCAAGGTCAAACGGACTGGCCAACAAATGGGCCAGAATTGCCAAGCAAACCTCCATATTTGGCCCATCACCCCCCTGGTTCTTTCATAATTCTCTTTTTATTTTCTTTTACTAATTATTATTATTATTATTAATAATTATTATTATTATTTAATTAACATAATTATTTTTCATAATAAATTCAGACAACTAAAAATGTAAATATTATTTATTTTATTATTTATTATTTTCACTATTAATTATTATTTTGTAAATAAATGTAATTAATTAATTTAGTTAATTAGGTTAACTTTGACTTTTTTCACAATAAATAAAATAAATTAGAATTAGGGTTTTTCTTTTGATAAATTTTAATTTCCTTTTTTATTTTTATTTTCATTAAAGACTTAAAAAACTAAAAAATATTTTTTTCTTTTTATTATTTAATTAGTAAATTAGGTTGAATATTAATTAATTGCAAAAAAGGACCAAAATTCCATTCTTTTCTCAAAAAAGGTCAAAACCCCAAGACTTTTCCCGATTCGATTTCTTTTCGCGCATTATTATTATTTTGATCATATTTATGTATAGCTCCGAGAATGTAATAGTTAATTAGGGCTTTTATCGCTTTCTTTATTTTCTCGCATTTATTTTCAAGGGTTATGTTTTTGGCGATGTAAATACCCGACGCCTTGTAATAGCGTAGATTTAATTTCCGCAATTTAAATTCCACAACTATTAACTGCTAGATGTATGTTAACTAGGCTATGCATGACAAGACTTATCTTAAAATAAAATCAATCATAGCTCACCATAACATGTACAAAGATAACATAACTGAAACCTGATACACTCACACATGCCACTCCTAGGGTACGCCTCACTTGGTTGCCTCGACGTGGTCATTGAGTATAGGGTGTTTTAGAGGTCGCCCTCCTGTCTAAAGATCCAGTTGCCTCGAAACGGTTGCCTCGGATAAAAAGGATCTAAGACATTAGGGTTACCGCTAAGGCGTCCTACTATTGCTTTGGTGACCACACATGTCCCTATAATCGAATTGACCCGAATAACTCCAACGACGGTGCTACCTACTTCTCAATAGTGGGATAGTACTGTCTAAAGGACTCTTACACGGCTTAATTCCTTAGAGTAGGTAGATTTCTTCTGGGTACTTGCTCTTTAAAAAACAAAACAACTTTTCGCACCTACACTTTCAAAAAGTTTTCAGACAAATACTTCATACACTCTTGAGGACTGATATAAGAGTTAAAACGAAGTTTTCAAACAAACTTTTTCAAAACCCACAAACACAAGAAAAGCAAACATTTTTGAAAACATAGTGAGCAAGTACCTATGAGTCTGTGGATAACCACAGATAGAAAGGGTGCTAACACCTTCCCTTTCTATAATCTACCTCCTGAACCGAGAAACATCTCGAAAAGGAATTTTGCTGTGCTTTTGTCCTTTCCTTGTTGGAGAACATAAAAGACGGTGGCGACTCTTGCTTACCGCGACATTTCGCGAACCAGCATTCTAAAACAGTCAGTTCTATTTCCACCGATCACACACCCCTAGGGTTACAATCCACTTGTTGCCTTCAAAAATGGGCCATGTTATGCATGTTGGGTACTTTGGCAAAACAAAAACAAAACAAAAGATCATAGTCCCTCGATGACGCTATCTTGGTTGCCTAAACAAAATGATCAAGTCCCTCAAAAATTTGCCAAAAATAGTTGACACAATTGCTATCATGGTCTATACGATGACCCGCGCCTGTCCCGTTTAACATCCTAACACAAGGTTGTTCACCAAATGCAATGGTGAAATAACACTGTCAAAAGGGTTAAAAACATTAGGAAAGATCTTTGAGTAAATTAGGGTAGATAGCTCTTAGTTACTTGATCAAAAGCTTGCAAAACATCCTTGCTACTTTCAAACACACTTCACAACACAATTCCAAAATATTTCCCAAATCAAACTTTCAAACTTTGAAATCTTTTCAAAAGACAAAAATACCTTTGTATACATTCAAACAAGAATCATTACAAAGGTTGCCACAACGATGACCTCTTCTCAAAACATTTTCAAAACCACACACAAAGCACCATTTCAAACAATTGAAAAGCAAAAGCAAGTGATCTAAACAAGTAACTAAGAGCCCATGGATAACCATGGATGAAAAGGGTGCTTGCTCCTTCCCTTTTCATAATCTACTCCTCGAACCCAAGAAAACATATCAAAGGTCTTTCATGTGCTTTTTGACCTTTCCTTGGGATAAAATAAAAAGTCGGTGGCGACTCCTAAACCGAAACATTTGCGAACACAAATGCAAAACCTTAAGTCAGTTCTCCCACCGTATCACAGGTATCATCTCTGTTAGTTCCATGTTTTTATGATTGACTAAATTTTAGTAAAACATGGTTCTATACTGATGTTGAGCAAGATGTTGTAACATTTTCATCAACTCTCATGACAGTTCAGTTATTATGAGTTTTCATCCAGATGTCGAAGACAGATATCGTGACATCCTAGACTATGTTCAGTAGGCGCTGTTGTTGGTTATCTCTTGGTATATTGGATTTGATTTGATGAACTCCTTTTGGATATTCCTTATCATTGTTTCTAGGTCAAGGAGATTATTTAGGAACAAAGTGCAGATTTAATTGGATTTCTTAAAAAGGATCTTGGAAACTTTTTAGGAAGATTTAAAAATATTTGTTCATATTTTTATGAGAAGATCTTGCAACAGTTTTGGAACGTGAAGATTAGATCTTTTAAAGAGTCCAAGTCCATACTGCAAGATTCTATAAACAAGGACTTGCTAGACCTAAAATAACAAGCATTCACATGTAAGAAACTGTGGGTGCAACATAAGTTTTAGGGTTTTGGGAGTCTTTCAAGTTTTTTGTGTTTGTGTTCTTTGTGCGTCACTCATGTATATTTTGATGCATTGAGTTGACTGTTTGTTGCTTGTTTATCAAGCTACTATTCTCACTCATGAGCTTTTAAGCAAATAGTTTAGTATTGTTTTTGGTTGAAGCTTTTAAGCAAAATCAAGTATTATTTATTGGAAGTGTAATCTTCCTTTTGGTTTAAGTCTAGTCATAAGGTTTGTGGCTGTAGGGGTATCATTGTGGTGATTTGAAGTGAGAGGTTCTCATATCTAGGAGGTTCCTAGGTAGAAGTTTCACGGGGTAATGATTAAGAAAAAAGTTGTAAATTGGGATTGTTTAGGCTTTTAACTAATACTATATGGTGGGTTTCCTTCTTGGCTTGGTATCCCCCGTAGTAGGTGACGTTGCACCAAACTAGGTTAAAAATTGATTGTGTTATTTAAATTTCTGCAATTTATCTTTCTGCATAATCAATAGTAGGTTTTCTGTCAATAGATGTTATAACACCTGTCTTGACATCGTGTTTTGTGTTGAGACATCAGTCTTGACTTTTTTATTGTAAGTTCTAGAATTTCAATTGGGATCAGAGCAGGAACCCTGTTCTGTCTATTGGGTAAGCTACAAAGAGACTATTTTTGGTACTGTGGATAAAGAAGGAGGATACAACAACATACCACCTCTATTAGATGGTTCCAATTATGATTGGTGGAATGTTAAAATGATGGATTTTTTGAAGTCCATGGACAACAAGGCTTTGAAGGCTGTTTTAAAAGGATGAGAATATCCTCTTAATATAGAAAAACATGGGAAGGTGTCAATAAAGCCAAAAGAAGAAGGGAATGACGAGGAGGATAAATTATCTCTTGGAAATTCAAAAGCCTTGAATGTTTTATTCAATGGAGTAGACAAGAATGTTTTTAGGTTAATTAATACATGTACTAAAGCAAATGATGCTTTGGAAATTATCAAGACAACTCATGAAGGTACATCCAAAGCAAAGATGTCAAGATTCCAGCTTCTAACTTCTAAATTTGAGAATCTAAAGATGAATGATGATGAAACCATTCAAGAATATCATATGAAGATTCTCGAAATAGCTAATGCACCTAGTGCCTTGGGGGAAATATGTCATAAGAAAAGCTTGTTAAAAAGATTATTAGGTCTCTACCTAGGAAATTTGACATGATGGTAACAATCATTGAAGAAGCTCATGACATCAGCAACATGAGGGTTGATGAACTTGTTGGTTCACTTTAAACCTTTGAGTTGGTCATTAGTGACAAGTCTGAGAAAAAGAACAAGAGCATAACTTTTGTTTCCAATGTTGAAGATGAAGAAGGCCAAGTGGATTTAGATAACGATAAAGGTCTATCCAATACTATTGTGTTACTTGGGAAGAAATTAACCAGAATTCTGAAAAGGATAAACAGAAGAGGAAGACAAAATGTCAGGAACATCTCATCTGACATCAGGAGTGATGATGACTTTCAAAAGAATACCAGACCTGAAGAAAAGACCAATCAAAGCTAAGGCATTCAATGTTATGAGTGTGAAGGTTTTGGTCACATCAAACCAGAATGTCCCACTACCCCAAAATTTTCCCTCTCATTTTTAAATCAAATTATTTCAATAGGTCTCCTCATCTTCCTAGGGTTCTCAATTGCTCAAGATTACTCAAGGAATTGATTAGGCAAGTCTTCTCCTAAGCAATTAGCCTACAACTAGGATTTTGCTTTTCTCAAAGGAAATTGGACTTATAATTACTCAAATGGTTTTCATGACTCCTCACATGCTTAAAAGAATCCTCATGTCATATTTCAAGCCTTGCATCACAAGTTTGCTCGGTCAATTGCTCAGATGATGATAAATTAACTAGATTGGATAAAAAGTCAATTGTGGTCAACATACAGTCAAACCTCAATATTTTTGGTTAACATCAAGATTTTAAAGTCACACTCATCATTTGATCAAGTGTTGATCATGATTCATCAAGAGATTGCTCAAAAGTCAAAAGTTGCTAAATTAGGGTTTTGATCATTCCTATAGGAGAAGTCAACTGAACTTTGACCAAGCATAACTTTCACATGCTTCATCAGATTTTTCTCAACCGAAGCTCATTTTGAAGGAAATTCAATTCTCTACAACTTTGTCTCTCTGAGCTCAAGTCCAAAAAAGGCTTCATTTGATGGACATGGACCAATACATTATAGGTCATTTCAAAAGTCAACAAAAAGATACTTTTTGTCAAGGCAACTTACATCAAGATAAAGTCTTCAAATGAAAAAATGACCAACATGAGAGTTTTATAAGACATCTTGAGCTTTTTAAAAAGTCCGAAATCACCTTCTTATGATAAAAATTGAGTGAGATATGATTGGTTCAAGTTGAACAATTTTTTAGGAATGCATGAAACTTCAATTGGACAATTTTGAATTTTTTGAGCTAGTAAGCCTAATTTTTGAGGTCCAAACATGCTTATAACATGTTAGAGGACTTCTAAGTCAACTGATACAAGCCTATGATTTTTATTTTATTTATTTAAATTTTTATTTGATTTTTGCAAAAGAATTAAAATAAAATATTGAATAAATAAACTAATGAAGGGATGGATCATGTTTGGATCAGTTGGACGCCCATTTACCACCAAAAAAACTGTGTAAGGCTATTAGAGGAAAGAATTTTGAGATTTTGGAAATTTTTCAAAGCTTATGGAAAGAAATCATCACCCTTGATCACACTTAATTCCACAGATTCTTTCCATCTTTTTTTTGACCTAATTTGGTCTTCTATATATACACAAGCATATGAGACCTCAAGGACACGAGAAGCTGCCTAAAAACGAGGTTTACAAACTCAAAATTTTGAAGGAAAGGTGTGGAGATCGTATTTTAAACTCCAAGGTTTTGTAGTCTGAACGAGGTGTCCAAACGTCTTCCTGAAGTCCTCAGGAACACGTCCAACCCAAGAACCAGAAGATTTGGTGCCTGGAACTCGTGCTTCAAACTCCACCGGTTTGTGTTTTTTCTTTGAATTCAATCTTAAATTTCATGCATTATTAATATGTTTGATGAGCCCAAATGTGTTCAGGATATGATTTAGGACGAGTTTGACGTATCACATGCAAGCTTTGATGCATGAATCTCTATATGCCATTTTTAAGGCATAAAAATACATTTGCTTCAGACTCTCTTTACAGGCATATTCAATAGAAAATAACCCTACCATCGGATTCATAGACTATGAATTAGGGGGGAGGGTCCCATTAACTTTTCAATCTTTTGATTTTTGCAGGTTTTAAAAAAGTGGTGGCTGGAGAAGACGACCGAAGCTAGGGCTCCGATGCTTCTCCGATGAGTCAAGGTTTTATGGTTTTATTGACTCTGGCGTGGCATGATAGGGTGTCCCAATTGGTTGATTCAAAACAGCAGGGCCCACCTGCGCTCAAACTTGGGAAAATTAAAATAAAAATGTTGTTTTATTATATAATTATTTGTTTGTATTCCATGACCGGATGTAACAGCCACCTTAATGGCAAGAGCATATGTTTTCAAGGCTTTGCGTGTATAAGGGCGTGAGTTCGAATTAGCCTTTTGTCAATATTCTTTATTTTCCATGATAACACGCATAGAGGAGATATAATGATTTCCAGTCATCCTCCAAACACCAACAAGCTCTTGGCCCAGTGGTTTGGGTGCCTGACTGTGACCCAAGAGGCGTGGGTTCAACACCCACCCCACACTGTTCTTCTTTTCATTTTTTCCAACCTTTTTCCATATTTGTTTAACTAATTTATTTCTATTTTTATTAATCAATTAACACAAAATCAAACCAAAAATTAGGATTAGAGTTTTTCTTAACTAATGAGATTTTTAAAATTTTTAAAATTAATTAATTAATTTAGACTTAGGTTTTCATTTTATTAAATAAATGGTAAATTAATGTAGAATTAGGTTAAATTTATTTCTTTCAAACACAAAAAAATCATTTAACACAAAAATATCAAATTAGGTTTTTTTAGATCTTTAAAAATATTTTTCCTAACAATCTTCTTATTTTCTTTGTTATTTAATTTCTTAGACCAAATGTATAGGAGTGCGCAACTTTGTAATAGTCGTAGTTTACTTTCTCGCATTTTTTCCTATTTTGTAACTGCTCATGGGATGTAATAGCTTAGGATTTATTTTCTGCACTTTTACTTTTCGCACCTATGTATGTATGTATGTGTGTATGTGTATATGTGTATGTATAACTGTATAGTAACTAGGCATGTATGGAAAAATCTAAAACAAAACGCTAGATAACCCTAACTCTCAAGACAAACATAATTGAACTTAATCACTCTTGCACACACACACCTCTAGGGTAGCCTCTCTCTGTTACATTCAGAATAACAATGGTCATGTCCCTCAAACATAGAGATACCATTAGCAAAGACCCTCGGTTAAAGTCATCATAAAGATCATAGTCCCGCGATGTCCCTTGAAGTTGCCTACGAGAAACGATCTTGTCCTTTGATGTTTCCTATGAATAATATGATGACAATTCCTTCGAATTTCTAAGGTATCCCTATATTTTACCTTCGATGACCAAAAAGACGGCCCTACGCCTGTCCCTTCACATGAAATGGATGGGGCTACCTACCAAATAATGGTATGGATAACACCACCCCTAACGGAGAAGGAAAAGGATAACGAAAGACCTTTCAGTGGGTAAGATACCCTTAATTGCTTTCTCACAAACTAAAATAATTTTCACACCTCACACTTTCAAAAAAACTACTTTCAAACGCTTTATAAATACTCTTGAGGACTGATACAAGGGTTATTATAAAGCAGACTGCCTTACATTGGCATTTTCAAAAACTTTTCAAAGCACACATAAGGAAAATTAAAGTGAGCTAAGAAATTAAGAGCCCTTAGATAAATACAGATGAAAAGGGTGCTAACACCTTCCCTTTTCATAACTTAACCCCGGACTCAAAATCTTAAAAGGTATTTCCTGTTCTTTTCACCTTTCCTTTTTGGATAAAAGAAAAGTCGATGGCAACTCTTGCTATCTGCAACATTTGCAATAAAACACAAAACCTAGTCAGTTCTCCCACCTTATTACACCCACGTTTCTCAAGGGGAAGAAAAAAGGCTTCACTGTGTCTTGGTCTAATGATGATGAGTCAGAAGATGAGACTAACAATGAATCTGCAAAACTTATGGTGGATCTTTCTGGCATATGGGCAGATGAAGTGAAAGCTTATGATGATAGTGTTCTCTATGAAGACCTTGATGTATTCTACAAGGATACTTATGACAGGTGTGAAGAAAGTCTTCAAACATTAGAAGAACACAGGAAGATTATAGTTGAATTAGAGAGTGAAAAAAAGAAGCTTCTATATTCTGTTTCACATCTTTATAGTGAGGTAACTCTCTTAAATTCCAAGCTCAATAACATGTCATATTCCTTGAAGAAAATGAAAAGTAAGGCTAAAATAGTGAGAGAGGAAGGAGATACTGAAGTTGATTATCAATCTAATAACAAACAAAGAAGAGTATATGAAGAGGAGTCATTTTATCATGAAAGTAAGAGAATGATCAACATGTCCAACCACATGTACAACATCCTGGTAGACATGATAAAACTTTGTTTAGATTTCAATCATCAACTTGGATATGCTATTATTATGATGAGCATGGTCATATAAATCCATTCTGTTATAAACTATATAGAGATACAAAATCTTCGGTTCATTCTAAGGCTGATCAAGTGAGAAAAAAGAGAAGTGTTGAAAATAGGGATATGAACTTTATTGCTCATACTTCCTTAAGAGACTTAAATGGAGAAGACTGATATTTTGATAGTGGGTGCTCTAGGCATATGATAGGAGTTCAAAAGTTATTGGTGAATATTAGTTCTCATCCCACAAATCTGTAAGATTTGGTGATGGGTTTAATGGTGAAAACAAAAGAGTTGGTAAGTTGATGTGTGTTGGTTCTCCTAGTTTAGAAGATGTTCGTTATGTGAAAAGATTAACTAATAATCTCATTAGCATTATTCAATTGTGTGACCAAGGTCAGCTAGTCTACTTCTCAAAGTTAGAATGTATGGTCAAAGATAAAATGGATGTTATCCTAATGAAGGGAATTAGATCTAAAGACAATTGTTATCTATGAGAATCTCATATAACTGCTTATTCTTTCACATGTCTAATAACTTATGATGAAGAAGTAAAGCTATGACACCAGAAACTTGGATATATTACTATAAAAGGGATGATGGAGATTTTATCTGAAGGAGCTATCAAGGAATTCCAGATCTCAAAATTGGATAAAGAAAAGTATGTGGTGACTGTGAAATTACAAAGCAATCTATGATGTCACACCGGATGTTGCAACATCAGAATACTTCAAAAGTGTTGGAACTTCTTCATATGGATATAATGGGACCTATGCAGATAGATAGCCTAGGAGGAAAAATGTATGCATATGTGGTTATTGATGACTTTTCTGGGTATACTTGGATGAATTTTCTTAGAGAAAAATCAAATACATTTGAAGTATTCAGAGATCTGTGTCAAAATATTCAAGAAGAGAAGAAAAGTGTGATTGTCAATATGAGAAATGAACTTGTCAAGGAATTTGAGAATGCAAAATTCTCCGAATTTTGTGATTATGAAGGTATTAGTTATGAGTTTTCTCATTCCACCACTTCTCTGCAAAATGGGATTGTTGAGCAAAAGACTAGTGAAACAACCAGCTGAAATCATCAAAGATAAAATTCAATGAAGTCGCCATCGAACGTCTTTTATCCCACAGGAAGGGAAAGGTAAACATCGAGAAAACCTGAAGAGGTGAAATCACGGTCTTGCGACCATAAAGATCGGGTAAGGAAGTCGGTTACGTGAGGGAAAGGTATTAGAACCCCACACGCCCGTAGTACTCTACAGTATCCACTCATGTTGTTCTAATCAAAGGGTGTGTAAAAATCTATATCTAAGATTTAAAAAGAAAAAATGCAAAGAGGGAATGCATGCAAAATAAAAGAGAAAATAATGTAGGGAAAATAAAGTTGTGCTTGTTCGGGCCCTACCCCAATGCCTACGTATCCCTTTTAAGGAATCAGAGCAGCCATAGTTCGGGTCACAAGTTTTGTTGGTTTGTATTTTTTAATGAACAATATTAATTTCTCCTTCTGTCGTAGCTCGACCTTTGGAGACCCATGCGTCAGCACAAAAGTGAATTAACACGTTATTTTGAAAAAGTTTGAAAGAAAAACCCGAAGGATAAAAAGGAGTTTACGTTGGTTGGTGTTTTTGCTCCGGATAATAGCTAGTTGATCTCAAGAGAGAGATATTAGCCACTTATCCACTTATCTATGAAAGGATTCTTTGAGACTTGAACCACACCAAGGCTTAAAATGGAAGAACAATAAGATCGAGAACACACCCGCTTATCATCTCCCATACTCAACAAAGGTATGATTCTTATCAGTAATTTTTAAGTGTTTTGAAGTTTGAAAGAAAAATAAGTTTTTAATATGGATGCAAAAGAGAAAAAACTAACAAAAGGGGATCTCAATCCTATAAGTTGTCACGCTTGTGGATCTAAAGTTGGGATACGAGGGAGATCTACCTAATGTTGTCATGCCGGGATAGCAAACCTAAAGTCTATTTGGTTCAAACTTAGAGAAGAATGTACTAAAGATTCTATGGGGAACATGAAAATCTCACAAAAGAGAAGAAACAACAAGAAGAAGAATTGAGCAATCAAATACTTAAATAAGATAATAAAAGCAATCAAGATATCACGTGAGAAGTAAATTTATTTAGGAAACAAACACTTAACAAGATATGATGTCATCAAGGTAAGACGAGGAAATATGACAATTAGACAATCACACATCAATATAAGAAGTAGAGACTTACTCAAAATTATCAAGACTTAATCACAAGATTTCGTCAAGAAGGAACAAAAGATCATGACGTAATCAACCAAACAGATAATATTCAAAATAAAAGAATTAAAATTCAACTATATTTTGTGATTTTATAATTTTTTTATCATGTAAAGAAAAATTAACAAAAATCAAACAAGAAAATTAATCAAGAAATAGAAGAAAATAGAGGGAGAGTGCAAAATTGAAAAAGGAAGGGTGGTATAGCAATCAGGCGCAGGCCCAAATGGAGAGGCCCAAGAAGATTTTTGTTATAAGACTTTAATTAAAAGAAAGAAAAAAATGCATGGGCTCTAAGGGGTGTGTGGCAACAACAAGGCCCAACAGAGATCACTAAGTCCATTTCAGCAATCTTTTTTATTCTTCAATTACTAGCATTCCAAAAAAACCTATGGTGGCTCGGCCCAGTTAGACAAATAACAGTCCAAATTCCATTTTTGATTCAGATTTTTGGTTTATTAATAATTTGTTATTTATTAAAAAAACACACAATAAAAAATAAAATTGAAAAGGGAATGAAACGAAACTTAGGGTTGGCTTTTATCTTCTTCTTCGCGAACGCGATCCCCTCCTCTTCGTGAAGCTCAACACGGCGCCGATCAACTCCCTCCGTTGATCTTCCGCTCAACCTTCGCCTCTTCTTCTATCTTTTCACCATACTTCACCGCGGCTTCAATCACCTCGTCTTCGTACCACTGATTCAACCTTCTACTTCACCACCTTTGCTTCGACGCAAACTTCTCCACCGCACACGGATTCGACTTCAAATATGACTCAAACTCAAATAGATAACACAAATTGCAGAATAATTGGAGAATATTTACCTGCCCGAGAATCGTCCGGTGCATCTTCAAGAGGTATTTCGTTTTTCTGCTTTTACTATTTTCATCTCTGTTTCTTTGTGTTTTTGGCTTCTGCGAAGTCAGTGTGATGTAGCAGATCGAAGTTTCTAAGAATAAGGTTCGAAGTTGTTGATGGAGATTGGAAGGAGATTGTTGATTGAAGCAGAAGGTTGTGAAGATAGTGGAGATTTCTTCTGCGATGAAGATGATGATTGAAGAGGATTGAAGATTTTACGGAGGAAAGTGATAGAGATTTTGAGATGAAGATTCAGTGAGAGAGAGATCAATTGTGCATGGAAGATGAAGATTGTAGCAGTGATGAAGGTTCTTGAAGATTGAAGCAGAGAAAGCAGAGTGAATTTCTAGAGTTTTTTGTATGATTCTTCTATAGAATGAAGAATGAAGATGAGAGGAGCAGAGAGTCCTTCGTGATTCATCTAGAAATTGAAGAATAAGGATTGATTCAGGTGAGAACTATTATATAGTCTGTTATGAGCTTGAAAAGTTTGTTACGTGAGATCGAATCTAAGCTGTTGATTAGTGAAATTTTGTTACCGATCGAATGGCTAAGAGTCATCTGATATTTTGAAAACCTTCTATGCAAGTTTTAGTTGACTTTATGCTCACATTTTTCCTGATACTTCATGAGCTGGAAAATTGTGAGCTTTTCTCTTTCTGTACTATCCTGAATTTTTTTGAGTATTCCTTTTACTTATCATTTCTTGAATGCTGAGTTGGAATTTGTCATGGTTTCCTCCCTTCCTGATTTCCGATTCACACCTTCCTCTATTTTTTTCTATTTTTCTGTTAGTTTGAAAGTTATGGGGTTAATTATGACTTTTCCTGGTATGAACAAAATGCAGGACTGGAATTTTGGATAATTGATGCAGGCTGTCTGACTTTTGTACAGGGACTGGTTTTGAATGCATGGCTGGATTTTTCTTTGAACCGGTTTTTGCTATGCAGAGTATTTTTGGTTTAGCTATGGATTTAATGTTGAGAAGAAAAATGGTTTTTGCTCTTGATTTTATGATGAACTATTTTGGCATTTATGTGTTCTTATGATGTGCGCAGGCAGGCTTCTATCTTTCATGCAGGTTTTTTTGGCAGCTGCCTTGGTTTTCACAGCAGGCTTGGGCTTGGAAGTAGCTGGCTTTGCCGGTAACTTATAGGAAGCTTTCACCTTAACGAGCTTGCCAGCAAAATCTTCTTGAAGTTCGACAGAAATTTCTTGTGCTTCTCTTCAATGAACTTCGCAATCGCGTACTGGCTCGAATCGTTCTTCTCTTTCAAAGCAACAATCGCTTCCCTCACCATCTCTTGATAGGCGGGGTGAGTTTTGGGTTTGGCAGGAGCTTGAGAAAACATGGTTTAGGGTATGGGAAATTTGAAGATGAAGATGTAAATTAGCATTAGTTCTAGATTTTTAGGACTTTATTTTCTTGAATGGATTTGAACATTTGAAGCATCTTGTTGAACCTTGAATAAAAACCAAAGATTAAGTTGGCTTTTGTTGAATGGAACTTGTACTTAATGAACAAAATTTTTTCCACATGGTTTTGAATGGATATTTTCCTTCCTATTTTCATTTGAATTCCAAGTTTTCCTTAATCTTGCAATTTTACCTTGTATGCAGTCCTTATGAACTTTGAACGCAAACCTTGAATTTTGCAACTTTCTCTTAAAAAAATCCTCATGAGTAAATGCTTATAACCCTTGATAAATCTTGAACCAAATTAAATTGACATTTTTGGATCTCTCTTCAATGAGACTTCTAATTTCCAATGCTCCAAACACCATTAACTTTCCTCACAAGTACTTGAAAGAAGGTTGGTGTCTCTAATCCACAACCTCATCTCTTGCGTCATGCCTTGCATTCAATCTTTTTGAATTGATCTTTTTGACAATTTAATGACCAAAATGATTCATGACATTTGATTAGTCTTGAAGTCCACTTCATTTCTTAACGAATATATCCAAATCAAACAACATAAATCGTTTTAGTTCAAAGAAATCACAAGCCCATTTCTCAAGCTGTAGTTTACACTTTAAACTTCAAACGACTTTATCTTCAAGCCTCGCTCAACAAGTAATCTGCAAACCAATGACCTCGACACAACACTAATGCCCTTGAGGAAATACTTTGACTCAGACGAAACTGGGAGCATAGAAAGACATCCATGTGATAAAACTCTGATTTTACGAGGTACATAGGGAAATAAACCCTAATCTCTAGAACTTATAAAACTGGGTGAAGATTGGGCTTATAAATTCACGAAGAAGAAATTCTTAATGACCACAGACCACAATCCTAACTCCAATGCTCATTGTCTGAAGAAGGAATCAACCTTTATTGAATATATTCCCCTCATCACTGTAGAAACCCTAGCTTGTACACCTAGTGAACTTTGGATCTCAATCACTTTATTGAATGTAATGTTATATAATGCAAATGACCTAATGAAAAGATGTGAATGCGATGCTAAGCCTAAGCTAGATAAAAGTAAAAATTAGGAGGACGAATTTTGGGGTGCAACAGCTGCCCCTATTTAATTGCCTTCAACCTGAAGGTGAGATTGGAGCTAGCCTTTTGAACATTCAAGGTAGAAGAAGATAAAATACTAAAAGAACCCGAAAATTTTCACTCTGAAGAATGAGTAAAAATATTTATGGTTTTTCTCTTTGGATGCCTCCACTAACAAGTTTCGGCGGGTAATGGTTTGATATTCCCGAAGGATTTCCTCAGAGGAAAAAAAGTTATGTTGCCTATCTGTCAAGGCGAATGAAAGGTGGAAGTGACGCTTAACTAAGCGTACTCGCAAAAGTTTAACAACCAAGGTGAAGATACACAAATGAAAGACACCATAAAAGATGAATAGAAGTTGAACAAACGGTTGTTGAGGAATTGTGTGTGATATTCTGTAACTCGGGGTTGCAAACTCACGACTCGGACATCAAAGCGAGAACAAAATGACAACTCGCGAGTTGAAAACTCATGATTCAGGATCAGAGAAGAAATCAAATCAACAACTCAGGGGTTGGAAACTCATGATTCAGGGATCGGAGAAGAAACCAAATCAATAACTCAGGGGTCGGAAACTCACGACTTAATCATCAGAGAAGAAATCAAATCAATAACTCAGGGGTTGGAAACACACGACTCATTCATTGGAGAAGAAATTAAATCAATAACTTAGGGGTTGGAAACTCACTATTTAGGGATCGGAGAAGAAACCAAATCAACAACTCATGGGTTGGAAACTCACGACTCAGTTAGCAGAGAAGGAACACAAACGACAAACTCACGATTCAGGGATCAAAGAAGAATCAAATTAGTGAACTCGCGACTCAGAAGTCAGAGAAGAAATAGAATGACAAACTCACGATCTAGGAATCAGAGAAGAACACATTGATAAACCCGCGATTGAGAGACCAGAAGAAAGGATTCTAACATAGATATCAAGAATACATGTCTCGAGGAAAGGACATATAACATGAATAGACCGGAAGAAGGTCTAAACGAAGATATACTTATGGAGAAAGAACACTGATTAAAGGCGAACTTATCGGAGGGGAGAGAACATCGGGTGAAGGCGAACCTTAACCAACAAAAAAGGGACACCGGGCGAAGGCGTACCTAAGAAGGAAAGACATCGGGCGAAGGTGAATTTTCCAGAGGAGAGAGAACATCGGGCGAAGACGATCCTTAACCAATAAAAAAGGGACAACAGGAAAAGGTGGACCTAAGACAGAAAGACACTGGGCGAAGGTGAATTTTCCAGAGGATAGAGAACATCGGGAAAAGACGAACCTTAACCAACAAAAAAGGGACATCGAGCGAAGGTGGACCTAAGATGGAAAGACACCGGGCGAAGGTGAATTTTCCAGAGGAGAGAGAACACCGATTGAAGGAGAACTAGGGATAAAATATACGTGTCTGGTCAGAGTTAAACACATATAAGAAAGAGACCGACGAAAGTAGACCCTTAACAAAGGATGCCTTCACAAAGGCGAATCAACAAGGAAGTTAAGCCAAGGGTAGACTCCTAAGAAATTAATGCTGATCAAAGGCGAACCCCATAATGAAAAGAAGACTAATCGAGAATAGACTTTTAACAAAGAATGCTGACCAAAGGTGGACTTTCTGGGGATACAATGTGACATTGACTCTGAATAGAACACCTATCGAAGGTGAACTTACAAAGAAAAGAGACCAGCCGAAGGGGACTCTAAACAAGGATTTCCAACACATATTGGGCTTTAAGAGATTGCGAATATGCAAGAACTACAGAACCCCTCAGGCCAAAGGAGGGGTGTAATTCCTCAAGAGTGACAATTATCTGAATTGCCACACACCAAGTATGGATACTCAAATACTTGAGAAGCAAGAAAGACTATACATCGACTCTTACTCACACTCTAATCGCAAAGGAAAACACATGAAAAAAAAGCAAGACGCTTGGTAAACGAATTGGATTATGGATTTATGGGTAACTGCCACGAGGTCAAGAATGCTTGCAGATAGCAACAAAAAAATATATGTCTTGAGGAAAACCTGCAGAGAATACCACTTGGTATTTCTGATTGATAGAATCTCTTCGGAGATACAAAGGGTGGCTGAGAAAGACTTTAATCTGGCTTATGCTTCAATGCATGTTTGAGATTTTCTTTTTAGCGTAATGCTCCAAATCAATAGGAATGCTACGCACTTTTAGAAGATGCAATGCAATGATAATTACTTTATGCAAGGTGCCAAAGCGAGGATATCTGTTGGGAACTCAAAGGATAGAATCCCATCTCCTGACTTGCTGAAGAAAACCCATAATCTAGAATTAAATCCTGATCTCGACTGAGGATAACAATCTTAATCTCACTTGGAGGTAATAATCCTTGACTTCTGTTGAAGAATGCAAACAACCCAAACTTAAGTCTCTGGATTTTGATAGAGGAACACCACTACATGGATTTACATCCCCGACGAGCTAAGGATGACAATCCTAACTTTCCCACATGCTCTTCAAATTCACAAGTTGATTAGCCTGCGACTGGACTTAACTAGATCAACTATGAAGTAGAGGAATGCCCCTGTATAATTCTTTGCCCTAGCCTGTAGGGCTTAAAAAAATTTGCCTCGAGGGGACTTTCTAAGATCCGTACCATCAAGATAAACAACCCCAATATTGTGAACTTTGGAGTACGGCTCCTGGCTAACCAAAGTTGAAGATGGTTTCAACCATATTTGGGCGAGTTCCCCTGATTACTCAGCACTTTGAGAGATTCTTCAAATCTTGGCAAAACTGCCCAGTTTGAATGTACTTTGAGGGATCGGATCTTGATTTGAGTGCCCCACATTGATTGCACTTGGAGGGATCAAATCCTGACCTGAATGCCTCGGATTGGCTGAACACTTACCCAACAGAGTATTCAACATGCTTTCCCCTGCTCAAAAGAGTCTCGATAAACCATTTCTTCATCTCATGCTCACGGGGAAATGATAAGCTCACAGATTTTTGAAGACAACACCTCCTCAGGGTAATTGACTTACGTCTTGAAAATAGGTTAGTACACAACCATACTTCTCAATTTGAACTGCTTCATTCACAAACAGATACTTGAAGAAATAGGCCCCTCGGAACCAACCGGAAGTAATGCACCACTATTTGACAGAGACTCTGGGCAATCAACTTTTGCAAACTGCTTCAGGTCGTTTCTTAAACTGGTATTCTTTTACTCAACAGAGTCAATAGAAGTTCTTCCCCAGATTAAGATCATTATTCAAAATGATCTACCTTTCAACGGTATCCTGAAGTAATTTTTCCCTCGAGATAGTCAAATTTTCATCTGATGCTCATTATGCAAGCTTACTTGATGTTTAAGCACTTGTTCATATGCAAATAATGTTTATTCTAAAAATGATAATTCTAATGCAAAGCTCATGTTTGTCTTGAAGTTTAAAACTTATTGAAAAGATGTCGAAACATCAAATTTTTCTTGTGCAAAAGAAAGTAAAAAGATGGTGTGATACCAACTCAAAAGTTTTAGCAAGCCTCCTAGGGGTCAAATTATCGTATTCTCATTATAGTGCGCTTTCGAATTAACCCATGCTTCAGTTAGGACTTTTCAGGGTTGTAACATGGTCTGGTTCATGGTTTTTAGAAAAAAGGATTTAAGGCTCAAAATATTTGGTGCCCACCCATTCTGGATGATGTTCTCCAGTCCTATATTCAGTTAAACCAATGCGAGCACTCATCTCTCGAGTGGATCTTATGATGGTTGAGGAACCACTGAGGTTTCTTGGACACGACAGTCACTCACCTCTTTCTTTCTTGGTGTTTGATCATACGACTTTGTTCTTTGCTGAGTGTAACACGGTGGGAGAACTGACTTGGGATGTTTTGCATTTGATCGCAATTATTGTGGTTAGCAAGAGTCACCACCGACTTTTTATTTTATCCAATAAAGAAAGGGTGAAAAGAACATGAAAGACCTTTGAGATTATTTTCTTGAGTTCGGGGGGTAGATTATGAAAAGGGAAGGTATTAACACCCTTTTCATCCATAGTTATCTATGGGCACTTAGTTGCTGGCTAGATCATTGCTTTTGTTTGAAAGTGTGCTTTGTGGTGGGTTTTGAAAGTATTTTTGAAAAGCGCATTCGTTTAGGAA